GGGAGGGACTAGGGGAAATAATGGAAATGGACTTGTGACAGACTGGGACAGTGGAGGGAAAATTATGGAAACAGGGGACCAGGACAGACTACATTGCAGGTGGCTGTGGAAGCCGTGGAAACAGACCACACACAGACAGAACCATTGCAGGGGCTGGGGAAGACAGACCATCAGGAGATGGAAGAAATGGAAATAATGGACAGACTGATGGACAGGGAAATAATGGACAGACAGGGAGGGAAGGGAATGGGATGGAGGACAGACAGGGTGCAGTGGGGGAAGGAGATAGAAGGGAGGGGAAACAGACTGGGACTGACAGGAAAGCCAGGGTAGTAGGGTAGAATGGAATGTGGATTCAGGGGGTGTGAGACAGACTACATTGCAGGGAGGGCTAGGCAGGGAAGGGGTAAATAATGTGGTTCAGGGACTGTGAGACAGACTACTGCAGGGAGGGACTATGGCTGTAGGGAAAATAATGTGGTTCACAGGCTGTGGAGACAGACTACATTGCAGGAGTGGCCAGGCTGTAGGGCAAATAATGTGGTCCAGGGCTGTGAGACAGACTACATTGCAGGGAGGGGCTAGGCTGTAGGGGGAAATAATGGTTCAGGGGCTGTGAGACAGACTACTACATTGCAGGAGTGGCTAGGTTGTGGGGGAAATAATGTGGCTCAGGGGCTGTGAGACAGACTGCTACTGCAGGGAGGGTTAGGCTGTAGGGGAAATAATGTGGTTCAGGGGCTGTGAGACAGCAGACTACATTGCAAGGGAGGGTTAGGCAGTAGGGGAAATAATGTGGTTCAGGGGCTGTGAGACAGATTACATTACTGGAGGAGTTGGGCTGTAGGGGGGAAATAATGTGGTTCAGGGCTGTGAGACAGACTACATTGCAGGGAGGCCAGGCATTAGGGAAATAATGTGGTTCAGGGGCTGTGAGACAGACTACATTTCGTGTGGGAGGGTTAGGCTGTAGGGTAAATAATGTGGTTCAGGGCTGTGAGACAGACTACATTGCAGGAGGGCTAGGCTGTAGGGGAATAATGTGGTCCTAGGGGCTGTGAGACAGACTACATTGCACAGGGAGGAGCTAGGCAGTAGGGAAACACTGTGTCTTCAGGGGGCTGTGAGACAGGACTACATTGCAGGAGGGCTTAGGCAGTAGGGGAAATAATGTGGTTCAGTGGGCTGTGAGACAGACTACATTGCAGGAGGATTAGGCTGTAGGAAATAGTTCAAGGGAGCTGTGAGACAAGGTGACTACATTACAGGGAGTGGTTAGGCTGTAGGGGGAAATAAGCCATGGTTCAGGGGCTGTGAGACAAGGACTACATTGCAGGAGGTTAGGCTGTAGGGGAACTAATGTGGTTGAGCTGTAGAGACAGACATTACAGGGAGGGTTAGGCTGTAGGGGGAAATAGTAGTTCAGGCACTGTGAGACAGACATTACAGGAGGAGGTTAGGCTGTAGGGAAATGTGTGGTTCAGGGGCTGTGAGACAGACTACATTACAGGAGGAGCTAGGCTGTAGGGAATAATGTGGTTCAGGGCTGTAGAGACAGACTTCACATTGCAGGAGGAGCTAGAGCTGTGGGGAAATGTAGTTCAGGGGCTGTAAGAGACAGACTACATTACAGGGAGGAGCTAGGCTGTAGAAATAATGTGGTTCAGGGCTGTGAGACAGACTGTGCAAGGAGGGTTAGGCTGTGGGGAAATAATGTGGTTCAGGGGCTGTGAGACGAACTACATTGCAGGGAGGAGCTAGGCTGTGGGGGAAATAATGTGGTTCAGGGGCTGTGAGACAGACTACATTGCAGGGAGGAGCTAGGCTGTGTGGGGGAAATAATGTGGTTCAGGGGCTGTGAGACAGACTACATTGCAGGAGGAGCTAGGCTGTGGGGAAATAATAGTTCAGGGCTGTGAGACAGACTACATTGCAGTGTAAGAAAGGCTAGGCTGTGGGGGAAATAATGGTTCAGGGGCTGTGAGACATGGCTACATTGCAGTGAAAGGCTAGGCTGTGGGGAAATAATGTGGTTCAGGGGCTGTGAGACAGACTACATTGCAGTGAAAGGCTGGGCTGTGGGAAATAATGTGGTTCAGGGGCTGTGAGACAGACTACATTGCAGTGAAACTGGGCTGTGGAAATAATGTGGTTCAGGGGCTGTGAGAGACAGACTACATTGCAGTGAAGAGCTAGGCTGTGGGGAAATAATGTGGTTCAGGGCTGCAATGAGACAGACTACATTGCAGGGAGGGATTAGGCTGTAGGGGAAATAATGTAGTTCAGGGCTGTGAGACAGACTACATTACAGGGAGGTTAGGCTGTAGGGGGAAATAATGTGGTTCTAGGGGCTGTGAGACAGACTACATTACAGTGAAATGAGAGACAGACTACATTCACAGGGAGGGTTAGGCTGTAGGGGAAATGTGGTTCAGGGGCTGTCAGACAGACTACATTGCAGGGAGGGTTAGGCTGTAGGGGAAATAATGTGATTCAGGGGCTGTGAGACAGACTACATTGCAGGAGGGTTAGGCTGTAGGGGAAATAATGGTTCCAGGGGCACACATGAGAGACAGACTACATCTACATTACACAGGGAGGGTTAGGCTGTAGGAAATAATAACTGTGGTTCAGGGGCTGTGAGACGAACAACATTGCAAGGGAGGAGACTAGGCTGTAGGGGAAATAATGTGGTTCAGGGCTGTGAGACAGGACTACATTGCAGGAGGTTAGGCTGTAGGGAAATAATGTGGTTCAGGAACACATGTGGAGACAGACTACATTGCAGGAGGTTAGGCTGTAGGGGGAAATAATGGTTCAGGGGCTGTGAGACAGACTACATTGCAGTGAAAGAGCTAGGCACAATGTAGGAAATAATGTGGTTCTGGGGACTGTAGAGACAGACTACATTACAGGAGGAGTTAGGCTGTAGGGGAAATAATGTAGTTCAGGGGTCAGAGAACCAGTACAGGAGGGTTAGGCTGTAGGAAATAATACCACTGATTCAGGGGGGCTGTGAGACAGACTACACTGCAGGGAGGGTTAGGCTGTAGGGGAAATGCCGCCACGTGGTTCAGGGGCTGTGAGACAGACCACACTGCAGGAGGGCTAGGCTGCAGGGAAATAATGTGGTCCAGGGCTGCTGAGACAGACTACACCGCAGGAGGGCTAGGCTGTAGGGGAAATAATGTGGCTGTCTGAGGCTGGAGAGACAGAACTGCAGGAGGAGGGCTAGGCTGTAGGAAATAATGTGGTCCAGGCACCGTAGGAGACAGACCATTACTGGAGGAAAGCTATAGGAAATGCAATAATAGTTCAGGGGCACAAGTGAGACGAACTACACTGCAGGAGAACCAGAGCTGTAGGAAGAAATAATGTGGTCCAGGGGGCTGTGAGACAGACTACATTGCAGGAGGGTTAGGCTGTAGGGGAAATAATGTGGTTCAGGGGCTGTGAGACAGACTACATTGCAGGGAGGGTTAGGCTGTAGGGGAAATAATGTGGTTCAGGGGCTGTGAGACAGACTACATTGCAGGGAAGGTTAGGCTGTAGGGGAAATAATGTGGTTCAGGGGCTGTGAGACAGACTACATTGCAGGGAGGGTTAGGCTGTAGGGGAAATAATGTGGTTCAGGGGCTGTGAGACAGACTACATTGCAGGGAGGGCTAGGCTGTAGGGGAAATAATGTGGTTCAGGGGCTGTGAGACAGACTACATTGCAGGGAGGGCTAGGCTGTAGGGGAAATAATGTGGTTCAGGGGCTGTGAGACAGACTACATTGCAGGGAGGGCTAGGCTGTAGGGGAAATAATGTGGTTCAGGGGCTGTGAGACAGACTACATTGCAGGGAGGGTTAGGCTGTAGGGGAAATAATGTGGTTCAGGGGCTGTGAGACAGACTACATTGCAGGGAGGGTTAGGCTGTAGGGGAAATAATGTGGTTCAGGGGCTGTGAGACAGACTAGAGGAGGGCTAGGCTGTAGGGGAAATAAGGGCTGTGACATTGCAGGGGGAGGGTTAGGCTGTAGGGGAAATAATGTGGTTCAGGGGCTGTGAGACAGACTACATTGCAGGGAGGGTTAGGCTGTAGGGGAAATAATGTGGTTCAGGGGCTGTGAGACAGACTACATTGCAGGGAGGGTTAGGCTGTAGGGGAAATAATGTGGTTCAGGGCTGTGAGACAGACTACATTGCAGGGAGGGTTAGGCTGTAGGGGAAATAATGTGGTTCAGGGCTGTGAGACAGACTACATTGCAGGGAGGGCTAGGCTGTAGGGGAAATAATGTGGTTCAGGGGCTGTGAGACAGAGGCTACATTGCAGGGTGAGACAGGGCTGTAGGGGGAAATAATGGTTCAGGGGCCGACTACATTGCAGGGGACAGAGCTACATTGCAGGAGGGAGGCTAGGCTGTAGGGGAAATAATGTGGTTCAGGGGCTGTGAGACAGACTACATTGCAGGGAGGGTGAGGCTGTAGGGGAAATAATGTGGTTCAGGGGCTGTGAGACAGACTACATTGCAGGGAGGGTTAGGCTGTAGGGGAAATAATGTGGTTCAGGGCTGTGAGACAGACTACATTGCAGGGAGGGTTAGGCTGTAGGGGAAATAATGTGGTTCAAGGGCTGTGAGACAGACTACATTGCAGGGAGGGTTAGGCTGTAGGGGAATTAATAATGTTCAGGGGCTGTGAGACAGACTACATTGCAGGGAGGGCTAGGCTGTAGGGGAAATAATGTGGTTCAGGGGCCGTTAGATAGACTACATTGCAGGGAGGGCTAGGCTGTAGGGGAAATAATGTGGTTAAGGGGCCGTTACACAGACTACATTGCAGGGAGGGCTAGGCTGTAGGGGAAATAATGTGGTTCAGGGGCTGTGAGACAGAGTAACAAGGATTGGGCCGAGAAAGGTGAGACATTCAAATACACACGTGCGTTTGTTTCCAGTTGAATGTTTTCTCTTACGATAAATATACTTAATGAAAGTTAGACACCAAAACTAACTCACAAAACGAAGTCTGTTGTGATTAATTTTTCTCCTCGTCTTGTCGTGAGCAAACAATCATGAAATCCTTAAGCTACTTTCGGTATTGTGAAACAGGGGAGACAACTTGGCAATATGGCAGCCCGACTAACTCACTCTGACCAAAGTCACCAAAGCGTACATAAAATATTGAAACTATTTTTACAACGATAATACTGGGACTGCACGTTGGGCTTAATTACCAGGGCTTAATTACCAGGGCTTAATTATGGATTTTGCCTGTTTTGACAAGGTAACATTTGACTTGAATTTAAGCGCAGGTCTTAAAAAGGAGAAAAACCTACCAAAACGATTTTGTAAATATGAAATCCCCTTACAGCAATAGTGATTGAAACTTTTCATGTAAACACGATTCAGCAATCATCAGGGAAGGGATATCATTCCATTTTCAAGATCTAATTTACTCCCATAGGCTTTAAAACGTTATTGTTTTCCCGTTATCAAGCCCGGGCTAAATAACGACATGGCTTAAGTACGTGCAGTCCCGGGAGGCTCCGAATGTTTCACCAGTCAGCACCTGCATGGTTCTGTAATATACAGCAATAGTTATGTCCAAAGGAACACTCGTATCACTCATTCTCAGTGGAAGTGCACAATTGCAAATATGTATTTTTGAAAAATTCTAAGGTTGGAATAAGAGGTTGTAAGTTGCATTGTGCAAAGGTCAAGTGTTTACGTTTATGAACTTTTAACATACAATTCCAAACTAATTTCTTGTTATCATAGTCCAAAAAAATGTTATTTATGAAATTTTATTATTATTGATAACTGTAGTTTAAACAATTAAATATGTATACTTTTCAAATTGTATTCATTTATAATGAAGAATATATATTCACAGACTTTTAGAAATAAAAATCACTGTCCTAAACATCGTCTGTAGTATAATACCTAATAGGGATGGAAGTAGGTTCGTTTGTATATTACGTTATGAATCTTGTATGTTATGTTATGAAAAACATTATGTTCGTGGAAGAAACGTTTGGCCTTACACACACGACTATCTTTTAGCATAAACTACACCTAAGTAACTTCAAACCGATAACACTCATTGTCGGTAACGGCACATTGCAAATGTAACGTTTACAGAGCTTTAAAGATTTCCTCAAATATACAGGTTCATATTACGTTATGCCACCGTTCATCACATGAACATCGTATCGTACTATCGTGTTACAAGTGCGCTAATTCACGTATGTATGTTACAACCTATATTTGATAATTTATCCCCTGGATTTAAATTAATGTATATAGCTGATCATGTATAGACAATAAATGTATTAAGTCATAAACATAACGTAAAATACATAACGTAAAATACTATGACGATGTTCACTGGTAGCCACCTGACATATTTGGCATGACTTTGTAGATTTCTCCATTTGCTGGCATCGTTAGCACCTAAGTATAACCAACCCATAGTAGGATTTGACGCGTGTTTATTTTCTCCATTTTCCCAGAAAAGCCATAACGTAAAATACATCCTTAACCATAAGGTTATATCTTAATAGAAAGTTGTTAAACTCAAGTATGTAAAAAGACCATATGATATGAAACGTTTTGTTTTTCTTTTATTCCACAATTAAATTAACTAACTATGCGATAATACAGATGTTCACTGCAAGTTAGAATTGAATTTCAGCTGACTTTTAGTCCATTACGTAAAATCCATCAAAACAGCAACATCTAAAATTAATTTTTGTTGGGGAAGTTTAAGAAAACGCTAAACTGTATGACTTCTTAAAAGTTGTCTAAATAGATCGTGTGCTGTCATTAGACACTTGTTTCCGCTTCCACAACTCAGTATGTCATCTCACAAACATAGTCTATATACCATCTCCTGTTGGAGACACTCCTATTTTGACAAGTTCTTTCTTAGCTGGGGCACTTTTCACAAATATGGACTGCAAAGATTGACACTAACATTAATTATTATGTTGCCACTTCGATTTTAAATTAAATCAATCATATATTGTAACGTTTTAATCAAGTATTTACAGGAAAATGTATTGTATATGGAGGCGACGTGAAATTTTAGTAATTGTGCACTTATATTGAGAATGGGTGTTATACGCGACTCTACCGAGGTGTATGCGTGGTAGAAAATGACAATGAGAGGTAAGAACATTCATGACACTGGAAATTAATTCATTTAAGAAATTATAAGCAGCAAATTATGTAATGATGCTTAGTTTCAACAGCAAATACGTGATCACAGGTGGCAGTCATAGAGTTAGGTCATCAATGGCAGAAAACTATTTGTTTGATCGGCATTCTAGAAGTTGGCGAGTCAATAATGAGGCATATACTAGTACTTTATGTATTACAACTTGTTAATTGCATAGAGAGACATTTCGGTGTGGATTCTTACACCGTTATCCAGCTTAAAGCCATGATCGGTGGTAACATCTTTGTGTGACATTTTGGAAGTTGGGTTGAACAATGGTGAACATGTTATGGACAACACCTTCTCTTGTTTTGTGAGTACGGTGTTTCGATACAGGCACCTGTCAGCAGCCTAAACTGGTTTCAGTTTTATAATTATGTCAACATCCTGGCATCTGATCCCATGGTCATGAGCACGTGAGTTCACAGTTCACAGTTCACAGTTCATAGTTATGTCAGGACACGGATGAAAGGTCTTTCCTCACTTTATCATGTTTCTATGTCGAAATGATGCAAAAGAGAGCGTTTCTGATGTTATAAATTGTTAATTTGTCACGTAAGATGTACGGAAATTACCGATGTTTTGCGAATGCAAATCGATGGAAGGGAGATAACTCCAGATTTGTTTTTCTTGTTGTCTGTTGTCGGTAATGGCTAATTGCCTAGCTCTGATACTCTTTGTTATAATCCAATACCCGTGTTTCAAGCAGTTTAGAATTACCATTGAGATGTTCGGTAAGATAAATACATATAGATTCTATGTCATTTAATATTGGGTAATTGCCTAACTCTGGTACTCCTATTTAATCCGATACCCGTGCTTCAAACAGTCCAAAATTAGCATTGAGGTGCTCAGGGAACATAAACAAACACAGATGTACATCAACCCATGTCCCTCTCGTGACCAGTGAACAGCTTATAATGTCCATTATGCTT